TTAGCATTATTTTTTGTTGGTGATTATACAGAATAAATATTTATTATCTGAAAAAAAAAAAAAGAAAACAAAATACAAGAATTTCCGTTTGATTTTTCTCTTTCTGTCTGTCTTTTTAAAATGCTGCTAATTCTTTTCGTTTTTTTTTTCTTATTCCATCATCAAGTGTTAATAATGTAAGAAATGAAAAGAATAAACTAAATGATGATAATATATGCCATATATCATGTACATCATATGTATTTAATATAATACATGGACGATTACGCATACGTGATATTGCTGGTTGAACTTCATAACTTTTAACTTGTTGATAAAAAAAATATAATGATGATGACCAAGATAATATAGCTGATAGAAGAAATAGAATTGAAAATCTTGTAAAATGTTCACGATGAATAGTTTTCATTAAAATATAATATGTTAAATAAATAGCTAAATTACCGAGAAATACAAATAATAAATGATTTGGAAATGATTCTGGTTGAATAATTGCACCGTAAAGAGCAAATGCTATATTTATACAATTAGCTGGTATAAGTATCATCATACGATTTAAATAACGTGGACGAGAAAAAAAACCATTTTCTTTTACAAGACGATATAAATGGATCTAAACAGAAATAAAAATCATATTGATTAAACGAACGAAGAAAAAATTGATTCGGGTCATTCAGATTAAGAATTTTGGCGCATGGATTCTTCAATTTCAAGCAGATTTTCATCCGAAAGACTTCATTTCCAATCGCAGAATTTCTTAACCTTGATTTACTACGGCGATGCCAGGCTAAAATCTGATTGGCTAGAAAAAAGTTTTTTTCAACCAATCAGATTTTAGCAGAGAATTTCTCGCGGGTATTGTAAGAATAAAACATAGTGTTGTCTTGGTTGATCAGGATGGTTAACAACAGCTTTCTTTCATATCGTACAAACAATATTATATGTTCTCCTTACAATAATAGAGAAAAACATTGCTGAAATCTGAATGCCTGAAGAAATAAGCAGAAATACAGATTCTTCGATGCCAATAAGCTTTGATTAAACTCTATAAACTATCATCATGGGCGGCGCGACCGGGAGGGGATAGGGAGGTCACCCCCTCCTGCTCCAGAAAATGTTGGCTGGTACTTTCTCCGATTTTGGAGAAATATACTGGATAATTTTCTCGAAATTCAGAGAAAATTCAAGTTTGAAAAACATTTTTGGGCGATTTTCGAGAAATTTGTATAATATATTTCTCGAAACTTGTGGAAAAGCGCCCAAAAATGTTCTCCAAACTTGAATTTTCTGTGAATTTATACAATAGTGTTGAATATATTTCTATGAATCCAGAAAAATCCAATTTTGGAGAAATATATTACAAAATTCTGATTCGGAGAAAATTTCAGTTTAGAGAACACTTTTTGACTTTCTCCGATTTTAGGACTGACTCCCCACCTGCTCCAACCTCTTCGCGCTGCCCTGGTAATGTCAACTGAAGTAGAAAATGTATTTCATTCATGTATTGTTTACTTCATTAAAAAAAATCACTTTCATATTTCAAACATGTGACTTGTGAAAAAAAAACCTTACTTTAAAATCAGTTCTTGAAAAAGAACGACAGACAGGTAAAAATTTTGCATATAAAAAAGCCAATTGCTATTGAAAAAACAGGAGCTACAGTAGAATTCATTGCTCTCTTTTTTTTTCTCTAAATAGTGGCGCATTAAAATGAGAGTCCATTAAATTTACATAAGCATATATTTTTTTTCTTGTGTGTTGATTTTTGTCAATGTTAACAGTTTGTGATGCCATTGAAAAACTTATTTTCAATGGTGAAAAAGCATACAAAACAAAGGGAATCGTTTTTCTTTATTTAATGTTGCAAGTATAGATAACATAAAATCTATTACAATAAAATGTTTTTATGGTTTCTGCAAGCAGCTCTTATGCATTATAGACTCAAAAACAAAGACTCTTAATTACCCTATAAATGAAATAGTTTGATTTTGTTGATGAGAAAAGTTTTTATAAGCATCATGGCAAGATCTTTTATAAAAATAATCTGTAATTTTCGAGTTACTTTTTTGTTAAAGTATAATCTTTGAGGAAAATTTTTCTTCATCGTACGACTATAGCTTGAAACTGATTTCGTTCATGCAATATCTGCCTTATGAGAGATGTATTAGTTATAGATCTAAATAGAGCTCTCACCAACAGAAAAAACCTAGTTCCGTACACTTTCGTACTTCTCGACAGACATATGCTCCTATATAGTTTTATAAATTTCTTTATTTAAAAAAATAATGAAAGTAGAACTTGCAGTAGAAGAAAAACTAGCAGACATTTTTTTGCTATTATGTGTTTTTTTTTGTACTAAGATATTCGAAGAGAAAAACATCATGTGATTTCTCTTTCTCATAATAGCGAACAGAAAACAAACGTAAAAAGACAACTGGTACTTATTTTAACTATGATGAAAATAAAAGAATCATGCTAAATATCTTAAAATAAATAAATAATATAAANATAATTCGAATTATATCGACATCATGAAAAGTTATGGTTTTTTTGACAAAAATAAAATATATTGCTTTCTAGAGAGTTTTATATGGTGTTCGACAAGCTCTACAAGAATGTAAATAATAATAAAAATCTTATCTTGTTTACAATACAAACCTTCAAAGAAGTCAGAAAGATTAATAACAATTTCGTTTATTCAGCATTAGAGAGAATACGCTGAACTTTGAATAACTTAAGCTAATATACTGTTCGATCTGTTGATGTAGCGCGGAAAGATTATTTTCAGCTTCAATATATTACATTACATCTTGACATATCAATTATTAGTCGATCAACTATTGTTATTGAAACATAAGCATACTATAACGTGCAACGCATTTGAGATTTTTATTAATCCGTCTGGTTTTCTCTACATTTTGTACTTAAAAAAAAATCAGAATTTTTTTTAATATTCATATTCTTGTAGAGCTTGTCAAACAAGGTAAAAATATCTAAAAAATTAATATTTCGCTGAAGTTTTTTTTGTTGAAAAATGTAAGGTGTAAAATGCTTAGGCATGCTTAATAAAAGGAACCATAATTTTTCATGATCTTGGTGAAGTGCGAACTATTTTCTTTTCAGATGATAACTCTAATCGTTTTATACAAACTTGTATTTCAATCAACTATCTATGTATGTATTCATATAGATAACGTCACTTTACACAAAGAAGTCGAAACTTTTGGACCATCCTTTTAATGACAAGGATTCCAACAAATAGGACACGATAGTTTCTAAACACCAGAAGATTTTGTCGGAGCTCTTTTTAACAATGTCATTTTACAGAGCAAAATTCTGAACAGAACGGGAAGTTATTGCATGTTCTATGAACTTTCCTTAATAAGTTAAAACTATCACAAAAAACTACAAAAATCAGGTATCTTTTAGTCGATTTTATGATTAACTTCGTTTTCCTAACGGTTCTCGTGATCATTTTGAATTTTTAAGGGAAGATCGTAGAAAATGCAACGATTCCACATTTTGTGCTTTGGACAATTATATCATTAAAAATAGCTCCGACAAAACCTTCTGGAATCTGTAAACTATCATGTCCAGCCTTTTAGAAGCCATACCATCATAGTTTATCTATAAAATCTTGCTATAAAAAACTTCAAAGGCTATTAAAACGGCTATCTGAATTTGAGCCAATTACTCAACATTATATCAGAAAATTTTAAAAAATTCGTTGCTGTCAAACTTTTTTCCATCACCTTATATATGATTATTATTGTAGTTGCCATTGCTCTAGCTTTAATTCGAAAATCTGAAAATTCTTCTTCTTGATGAAACAACATCAGCATTAGATAATATAAGTGAAAAAATGATTCAAAATGCATTAAATCGAGCACAAGCAGGTTGAACCTGTTTAACCATCGCTTATCGTCTATCAACAATAAAATATTCAAAAAGAAAATTTCTGTTCTTAACCGAGGCAAAATAACAGAAGAAGTGAGTTTTCTATTGATTTTATTTATAAGAAACCAACAACAAAAGAAATCTTTATTTAGAAAATACATGAAGAACTGTTTATACATTTTTTTTTTGATTTGTTGATAAAGTATAACTGATGAACATATTGTTATGTTTTTATGTGGTTCATGTACATAGATGATAAGTGAATAGTTACTATTTATTTATTAATTAGAAACTTGTTTTTTTCTTCTTTAATGTTTATTAAATAATAAATATTGTAAAAATAATGCCATCTAGCAGAATTAAACTAATAAATTACTTGCACATGATAATGCAAATTTTTACTTTGATTTCATGAATTGTCATAAGACATAATCTTCAAATTGAATTTTAATAATATTGAACAACATGCTTTATTTGTGTTTCATATATTTCTAAAAAAATACCACTAACCTTGATTTTGTTTTTTCAAATTTTTTCATGCCAATGGGGATCAAGTACGACGAGATTCTCATAAATATATTTTTTTCTTTTCTATAGGTAAATATAATTTATGCTTGAATATTTCCTTTCGAAAGATATGCTCCAATAGTGTAAAAATTTCAAAAGATTACTTGTTTTTCTCTTATTAACGAAGGATGATCAATTTCAATAATAAGAATAAGAATTTTAATGGATTTTAATAAAAAAAAAAAAACTATTGCTTGTATTAAATGAAAAAAAGAAACTTTTAAAACTTTTCTTTCGTTCTGTTAACATTACATAACGCTTTTAAAGTACATTTTCCTGTCAAGTCACTTTTTGCTAGATGTTTGCTTCCATTGTATATGTTAAGTCCTTGTAAACAGAAAAAGAGCATCATAAGAGTTCGTTCTTGTCTTGTACGATTGCGTACTTTCCGAACGTTAAAGTATGTTGATGGCGCATTCAGGTGTGTATGACGTAGAAAAAGAAAAAAAAATTATTTACAGTGCTGCAGTATAAAAAGGAAGCTCAATTGCTTGCTTTCAAGTTTATTTTCTAACACGACTTTTACTTCTACCGCAATGCCAATATTGAATGGCAATTTGAAGTCGAATGGAAAAGTTATACCATTGAATGACAGTCCATATCAACAATCTAAGAAACAAAAAATTGATAATACAAATATTACAATACCAAACAATTCAATTGAACCAACACCACAAAAAGTTGTCAAGGAAAGCTTAGAAAATGGTTTATCTAAAACAGATGAGAATGAAAAAGAACTTGAAGTGAAGAAAAAACCCGAAGGACCAAAATTAAAACCATATGAAATTGTATGTATGATATTATCACAAATTATTTTATGCTTGTTTATTTTTTTTTAGTATAAATTTGCTGATAAATGGGATATTTTATTTATGATTTTGGGAACTATTACAGGTAAAATCAGACTATTTTATTCTGCTTTTATTTTCAAACTGAATTTTTATTTTCTATTAGCTTGGGCATCTGGTGTAGCAATGCCTATAATGATGTGGTTATTTCAAAGTGTTGCAAATTCTTTAGTTAATATTGGCAAAGGCAATTCTACAACATCATCTAATTGGTATATATTCAGATATGAAAATTATATTCTTGTGAATGCCTTGTTTGTGATTTAGTTATAGTGAATCAAATTCTAGCACTGATCCAATATCAGTAATTGAAGGTATTATTAAATGGTATGCAACATTAGGTGCATCGAGCATTGTTCTTCATTGGATGGCTTATGGTTTTTGGGTAACACATATTGATTTTTTGTAAAAATGAATATAATGATATTTAAGTTTAGATGAGTACAACTGAACGACAATTACGTCGAATTCGCTATGGACTTTTTGAAAGTATTATGAGACAAGAAATTGGTTGGTTTGATTGTTTAAATGCTGGTTTGTAATTTGAAATTTATTATTTTTTTCTTTTCTTTTATTAAAAAAACAAAATATTTTTTAATTTAGGTGAACTATCTAGTCGTCTTATTGAAGATCTTGATAATATTCGAGAGGGTATTGGTTTTCGTGTAGCTGATTTCTTTTGTCTTCTGTCTCGAATAATTGCTACATTGATATATTCTTTTTATACTGGTTGGAAATTAACACTTGTATTTCTGTCAATTTCACCATTAATTATTCTTTCATTTAATTTTTTAATTCGAGTAAGTAAAAATATAATATAAATGAATTATTTATTATTTATTTTTTACCTATGAATTTAGGTTATTGTTCGATATACTGTATTAGAATTACAAGCTTATAGTACAGCTAATGCTATTGCACAAGAAGTTTTAGGTGCAATAAGAACCGTAACAGCGTTTAGTGGACAAAACAAAGAAACAGAACGGTAAATAAAAATTATTCTATCGAAATAATTTGTGATGCATCAAAACGTTTTTTAAGTATAGTTATTTTGAGTTCTAAAAATTACATAAAATCGATTGTGAATTCAAAAACTTAAGATTCGATAAATTTTATCCATCAGTAGCAAATCGAACCCTCGTTTGAAACAAAAACAAACGCAACTAGTGATTCTGTGATGCAATATTTTACTGAGATTTTTTCTTTCGAAAGGGCAGTTCGGTACTCCATATGAAGGTAATGAAGCAAACTCGATGTTTACTAAGAGAGCATTGCTCTCTTAACCTCATCTTGAATTAAATACTGATGGCTGGTTCTTTTGTATTATTCCGTTGCCTGTCGAGTAAAACCGATGATAGGTATAAAAAAACTGGTTATCAAATAGTAACTGTATCAACGTTGTATGTTTGTTCGAACTACCGACAGTAGATTACCGATTGGAGAGCAATTATCAGTATACTACAGTAGAATGGCGGTCAGATGTTCTCAACAGTTTAAGCATCAAATACCAATAGTATAGTGCATATTATACCAAACAGTCTACCGACGGTTTTGTCCAGTTTGAATTATCTGAGTAGTGTCTTTATCATCGTCAACATGTTCTTACGAGAAAAAAATTCATCAAGATTTAATAAGGAATTTTTTTTCTTCTTAATTAAAATAGATATGAAAAGAATTTAACCCAAGGTCGACGTGTTGGTATTCAAAAAGGTGTCATGTTAGGAATAACACAAGGTCTAGTAAATGTTGTTTTATATGGTGGTATTGCAATTATTTTTTGGTATGGACCATATTTAATTCGAAATGAATGTCAAAATTATTCTGCTGGTCATTGGATGGTTGTATGTATTAATATATCATTTTCTAATTCTTTTTTGTTTAAGAATTATTCATTTAGATATTTATTTCTTGTTTAACATCAACATTTGCATTAGCTAATTTAATACCAAATATACAATCATTTGCTGAAGCATTAGGTTCAGGTGCATATGTATTTCAAATAATTAAACGTGAATCAAAAATCAATGTATGTAATAATGATGGCGAAATTCCATCAAAATTTATCGGTGATATTGAATTTAAAAATGTTCATTTTACATATCCATCACGACAAGAAGCACCTGTAAAGAAGCAATGAAAATTTGATTGAAAATTTTTTATGCTTTTTTTTTTTGTTAATAGATTCTTAATGGTTTAAATGTAAAAATTCCATCTGGAAAAACAGTTGCACTCTGTGGTCCATCAGGTTGTGGTAAAAGTACAACAATTCAATTAATTCAACGATTTTATGATCCAGATAATGGACAAGTTATGTTAGATGGTTGTGACGTACGCTCGATTAATTTAAAATGGCTTCGATCAAATATTGGTATTGTTTCTCAAGAACCTGTTCTATTCTTTGGTACTATTGAAGATAATATTCGCTATGGCAAACTTGATGCAACCGATGAAGACGTTATTGCTGCTGCTAAAATGGCTAATGCACATGATTTTATTATGCAATTACCACACGTAAAATCAACAGTATTGTGAAAAAAAGAAAATTTATTTGTTTTGTTTTTTTTAGAATTATAAAACATCATCTGGAGATAAATTAAGTGGTGGTCAAAAACAACGAGGTGAGAATGAAATAAAAACAAAATCAAAACAAAATTCATTTGTTTATTTCTTTTTAGTTGCTATTGCTCGAGCTTTAATTTCCAATCCGAAAATTTTATTACTTGATGAAGCAACATCTGCTTTAGGTATTTTATCTAAATGCGTAAATTTTTTTTTTAATGGTTAGTTTTATTATTCCTATTTTTGATTTTTAGATAATCAAGGTGAAAAACTTGTTCAAGAAGCATTAGATAAAGCTAAAGAAGGTCGAACAACTATAGTTATAGCACATCGTTTAAGTACAATAAAAAATGCTGATATTATTGTTGGATTAGAACAAGGACAAGTGGTTGAATATGGTACACATAATGAGTTAATGCAACGTAAAGGACTTTATTATGAATTAGTAACTGCTCAAAGTGAAAAAGAAAAAGAAAAAGAAGTAGATAGTGATAAAGAAAATGAAATTGAAGAAGAATTAGCTCGACAAGCTGGTGAATTGATAAAACATAGAATACGTCGACCATCTCGTCGTATGTCAATTATGTTAAGACGTACATCAATTATTTCAGTTAAATCCATAGCATCAGAAATCAATAGTGAAACAGGACATGATCTTGGAGCAATGGATGATGTAGAAGAAAAACCTTTTTTTAGTATGCCATTTCTATTTAAAGTTTTACGATTAAATTCTCCTGAATGGTTTTATCTTTTAATTGGTGCAATTGCATCACTTATTTTTGGTGCAGTTACTCCGGTATACAAAAATAATCTATAATTTGTTTTCTTCTTATTATTTATTTTAGGTATTTTCTTTAATTTTTTCTAACGTATTTGGAGCTTTAGCAGAAACAGATTTAAACAAGCAAGAAGATGAAATACGTACCTATACATATGTAATTTTTTTAGTTGGTCTTGCTGGTGCAATAAGTCAAATAATATCATCAGTTACTTTAGCTAAAGCTGGAGAAGAATTAACAATGCGTATGAGAATAATATCTTTTAAAACTATATTACGACAAGAAATTGGATGGTTTGATATGGATGAAAATAATTTAGGAGCATTAGTGACACGACTTTCTTCTGATGCAGCTTCACTTAAAGGATTTACTGGTCCTACGTTTGGTGCTATTCTCACTGCCATAGGTGCATTAATTACAGCTCTTGTTATTAGTTTTGAAGCTGGATGGAAACTTACGTTAGTTATTCTTTGTTTTACACCATTAATGGTTTTTACAGGTCTTATTCAAGGTCAACAATTTTCTAAGGCAGCTGGAGATAAAAAAGAAACAACATCTGATGCTGAAGATGGAGGAAAAGTATATCTGTTTTTTTTTATATATATTCTTTTTTATGTAATCAAAACCCGCCGGTATTTGTCGGTTAACTGCAGTTTATCGATAAATTTTTTCTGATAAAATCTATCACTTCTGCTCGATATCAAACTTAAAGAAACTAGTACTGCTTGTTTAGAAAATTGTTTCATTTTTACATTTTTTTTTGAAAGTCTGAGGCACGTTAGTTAACGTCGGCACACTTAATCCGGCAGCTACGTCAACTCAACTAGAAAATGTTTCCGACAGGTTTAAAAGCTTCTTCTTGATTTTTCATTGGTTACAACTAGCAAATCGGTTCTTCTACAATACTCAGAAATGCAAGATACATTGAAGAAAAATAGCATCTTGACTATGAAGTTTTTATTATCTTAGACATCATCCGAGAACTGTATAAGCAGTAATTTCTAAAAATATAGTTTTGTAGTAACATTAATTTCTATTTCAGGTTTTTTTTGTTCATTTCATTACTGAATGAATAGAGATATAATTCAGATGCTAATCTAGGCTATTAGATATTTTCTTTTATTTATGAAAAATGAGAAAATGGTATTTTTCAGTGCTAATACATGATTTTTCTTCCGTTAAAACTCATTCTATATTTTCAACATGCATCAATTATTAATATATTCTTTTTAGCATGCAACACAAGCTATTGAAAATATTCGTACAGTTGTATCACTTAGTCTAGAAGAACATTTTATTCAATTATATGAAGAAGCATTTGATCGTGATTTTCGGTAATTTAAATAAATATTGCTAAAAACTCGTTTGTATTTTCTTCTTCTTTTTTTTGTATTTCAGAAGTCGTATGTTGTATCTTCATTATATAGCCTTTGCTAATGCTCTTGCTAATTCATTGATGTTTTTTAGTAAGAAATTATTTCTTCAAAAGAAAAACGTTTTATTTATATTTTAAAATATAGTCCACGCAGCAGCATTTGGTTATGGTGTGACGCTTATTCAAAATAAAGAAATGACCTTTGATGGTGTTTTTCGAGTCTTTAGCGTTGTTACTTTCGCTGCAATGTCTATTGGACGTAGTGCATCTATGGCACCAAGTTATTCAAAAGGCAAAGCTAGTGCTAAACGTATTCTTGAATTAAATAAACGTGAATCAAAAATTGATCCTGAGGATTCATCTGGCATTACACTTGTAAAAATATTTTTCCTTTTTTAATTAATTATTTATTGCCAAGTCTTCATTTTTAGTCTGATGTAACTGGAAATATTGAATTTCGAGATGTTCGATTTCGTTATCCAGCTCGACCAAAACTTCGTATATTACGTCATTTAAATTTGACATGTAATTCAGGTGCAACAACAGCACTTGTTGGTCCATCGGGTAGTGGAAAATCGACAACTGTTGCATTAATACAACGTTTTTATGATCCACTTGCTGGTACAGTTCTTCTTGACGGACATGATATAAAAACATTAAATATTCAATGGTTACGATCATTACTTGGTCTCGTACAACAAGAGCCTGTTCTTTTTAATCTTTCAATTCGTGATAATATTGCTTATGGTGATAATAATCGACAAGTAACACAAGATGAAATTGAAGCAGCAGCAAGAAAAGCAAATATTCATGATGTAATTACGTCATTACCTGAGGTTAAATTCAAGATTTTTCTTGTCTTTTTCTTTTTTGACATAAAGTTATCGTTTAGGGATATGCAACTTCATGCGGTGCTAAAGGTGGTCAATTATCTGGTGGACAAAAACAACGAAGTAGACTTTTTTTAAATAAAATAAATTATTGTTTTGAGAAAATCTTTTGATTTTTAGTTGCTATTGCTCGAGCTTTAATTCGAAATCCGAAAATTCTTCTTCTTGATGAAGCAACATCAGCATTAGATAATAAAAGTGAAAAAGTTGTTCAAGAAGCATTAGATCAAGCACGAGCAGGTCGAACATGTTTAACCATTGCTCATCGTTTATCAACAATTCGAAATTCTGATAAAATTTGTGTTGTTGATCGTGGCCAAATTAAAGAAAGTGGTCGTCATGAACAATTAATTTCACAACAAGGCATCTATTATAAATTAAATATGGCTCAAGAACGTCCAGAAAATTTAACAGACAAATAGTACTGATTGTTTTGCTTGTTTATTTGTTTGTTTGGAGTTTTAGAAAATAAATCTGTTTATGTAACCAATTGCTTGACTCATCTATTGGATAATTACATAAGACATCATTTCAATGGAAAAAATGAAAAAGAAAACTATTGATGTTTGTAGACGTTCGTCAGTGTCTTTTATTCCCTCTACTGAAAGGAGGGTCATACGCTGAGTGAGTTATCTTCGTTCGTTTGTTCATTAGAGCGCCGGAGGTGAACTGAGTTTATTCATTAAACTACGTGAGACAAAGTTTGACCCAAGATTTTTCGGGTCGAGAAATTCAAATCCGTGATCAGTTTTTTGAAATTTTGAATTTTCTTTTTTTTAAACAAAGAAAGAGTTTTTTACGAAAACAATGATTTTTTATAGAGTTTGACCAAAGGTTCCTGGGGTTGGGGAATCCAAATCCGTGATTAGTTTTTTGAAATTTTGTACTGTATGCTGCCGTGAATAAGACATTTTGTTTCAGAAACAATTTGTATAAAACTTTATCGATTCACTGAATCAGAAGAACCGTTTGGAAGATATTCATTGCTGAGTTCGAAATATCGCTGATAGAGTGAAGGGTTCTGTTGCGTTTGCATCCAATGCATTATGTTTTACAGAAATTTAAATAAGTTTGTATTGATCTCAGAAAACTTTGTTTTCCAAAATGAGATCTATTTTAGCTCGCACTTTGCGACTCATTTCAGTGCAGACGAAGCTCAGTTGGGAAAACTGAGCTTCAAAACATGTCGTTCTAAGAAAGTTTGTTATCGTTGCTGCAACTTCAGATGAAAGGTGTTACCCGCCCAGGAAAAGTATCTGTGGCTTCATTCTCAGGTCACATACTGCTTCAGCGCATGCGTGTTCAGTTATTGAATGTAATACCGGTAGATGGTTGCAACTATTAATTTTTCTTTTTGTACTAATGCATGCATGAAGTTTTTATTTTAATAGATTACTTGTAGAAAGATCACCAAACAATGAAGATAACAAAGCTGAAAACAGGTAGCAATGAGTTGTGCTGTAAATAATAAATGTGTCATTGTTCATAGACTATAACTACATTAGAACGGTAGTAAGACACAAATTATCTAAAGAATTGAAGAAAAACGTTTTCGAGTGTTTTTTGCGATCGTGTCTAATCTATGGAGTTCCTCTGCTTGTGCTGCTGACGGCTTCACTTGTAGAGATGAGAATTGAAAAGAACGCACGATCAGGATGCCTGACGAGATCAACAATAATTTTGTTAAGCGTTTGACCTTGACTTTTGTGTGTTGTTATGCTATAGGCAGCTATTAACGGAAGAGCTTTACGCTTGATCGAAATTTTTGTTGTTCGTTTTGCCACTTTGGCAATTTTTGAAAGAGTTTCGGGAAGAAGCTCCTTGATATCAAATTTGAGTTCAGAATCAAGCTTGCAGCTCGAGAACTCTACCAAAGCATATTTTGGTTGTGTTATAAACTTAGTATGGTTTGAGAAAACTGCTTTGTCAAATTGAATGTCGTCACTCAATTCATCATATACAAGCTGACGAAATATACCACGCGTCCCATTGGAGAGTTCAAGTTCAGCCGCAATATTTTCTGTTAGTAAAACGGGCATCCCTGGAACGAGAGGTAAGTAGCCTGGAAGATGCTCCGTTTTATTGTCAGGTAGTTCGAGAATCGCTTTGCGTAATTGTGAATCTTCAATCCTTGTTCCTTTAGCGTAATCTTGAGTAAGGCAAATGATCGGCCTAAATTCCATCTCTATTGGTTTTTTCAGCACGGCTCTATTGTTAATTTGAGTACGAATTGCGTTCCGAAAAACGAGTATTGGGGCCTATAAAAGAAAATTTGATGACATATAGAAAAGATTGGATAGACATACTTCTTTTCACGACTTCTGTTGTAAAGATGCTTGAAGATTTGGAGTTCCGATGACCCGTGCACAAAGAAGTTTATAATCTTCAATAGTCGACTGTTCTTTTCTCAATCTGTTTAAGAGTTCAAAGTATCGCACATCTTCGGTTCGCATTTGTTGGTTTAATTCAACAACGCAATTAATTTTTGATATCACTTTTTGTGCGCATTGCATTTCTATTTGATGTCCTGTATATTGCTGTAACGATGCGGAGCTGTGATAGAGAGGCTTATCCGACACTGGAGAATATTGCAGGTAGTCTCCAAAATAAATGACATTTACACCATTAAAAGGAGCATCCGAATTTATGTGCTTTACCGTTTTCACTATCCGATTAAGCTGACCTAATAGGCTAAGTCCTACCATACTCATCTCATCGATTATCAAGTATTTTACTTGGCGCCATTCATTTTCCAGTTTTGTGTCGCCAGGTCCGAATGTTCATGTTTGCTTTTTTTGTAATTTTTGCGATTCTCACCTAAAAATGAATGAATAGTCGATCCATCAATCTCTGCCGCTGCTATAGATGTTCGTGCCAGTTTACGCAGCATTTTGAGTCTCTTCGTGACTTGGAAATACTTAATGATTGCACGAATCAATTGAGATTTTCCAGTACCACCACAGCCAGGTACGCACATCAGTAACTGATTATCGCTAGTGTCTAAATAATTATGGTCAATGATATTTAATTAATAGAAAATCGAATAATATATACCTGTATGAAGTTGATTCTCGCCATCTAGATGACTAGTAACAATCATGAAAGCATATTTTTGCTGACTATTTAGTGCGAATTGTTTGATGGTGTCAGGTTTCGTTGGGCATGACACTGCTATAGTTGTAGTCACAGGTGATACCATGGTAGTTTGCGTTTTATATGGACTTGTTGGTACTTCAGCAGTTACGACTTCAATCTGCATCTCATCATCTCGTACCTCTAAGGTGTCTTCACCTGAAATTGAAAAAATTCTAGCTTTATCTCTTCTGGTTTCAATATCGCGTTTCCACTCTTTAATCATTGCTGCATGATGTGAATGAGCTACCACGAATGAGGTGACATCGTCTACGATATGATAGCTATTTTGGTTCAATATGTTTCTGTGGTCTAAATAAAACAAAATATTATCGAAATGCAACACTAATGAACTGACTATTGAGT